AATAATTAGGCAGTTTTTATTAAAATACGTTTCATTTTCAGAATTGAGCTATCAGCTATTAAAATGTGTATACATTTTTGGGGGACACCCTGTGTATAGTTTATATCTTGTTTTTTAGAAATAAGGGGGCAATTAATAACTCATTTAAAATTATACTCTGTGTTTGCATTACACACACTTCAGCCTTTTTGTAGGGAAAGAGCTAGAGTGAGAGGGAGAGAGGAAGGGAGGAAAGGAGGATTTGTTTGAGACTGAAAGGAGATGGCTTATCTCTGGTCTTCATCAGGTGGCTCCACTCAATCTCTTTCAGATAGGGAATTATTTCTGTCTAGGTTCTTGTTCACAAAAAAGGAAGCAGTTAATTAAAGATACTTATTATCTATCAGTTTGTGATGTGTCCCATTACACTCCCCATCCCCATGTTCCCCCATTTTTTTTTAACAATTTAAATACATACATTTTAATTGTTATTTAATGTTAATTTATAAAACATGTTTGTATTAATGATACAATTTTATTTGTACATTGTTTGCTTTAGATCAGTGATGGCGAACCTATGACACGCGTGTCAGAGGTGACATGCGAACTCATTATTTTGGTTGATTTTTCTTTGTTAAATGGCATTTAAATATATAAAATAAATAATCAAAAATATAAGTCTTTGTTTTACTATGGTTGCAAATATCAAAAAATTTCTATATGTGACACGGCGTCAGGGTTAAGTTAGGGTTTTTCAAAATGCTGATACGCCGAGCTAAAAAGGTTTGCCATCACTGCCTCAGATTGATGTTCACAGGTACTGCTCATTTAGGTATTTGCAGTTAGCCATTTTGGTGAGTATATCGTTTGCTGATCACATGGCCATGAGCTTTGGAGAAGATGCCTGACCCATCAGGAAAGTAAAGTCTCCTTTGTTGGGTCTTGTCTTCCTACCTGTGTACTTGTAGTCAGGCCACTTAACTGGCTCTGGGTTGCTGTGAGTCCTTATAAAATGGGAATAATTATACCTCTGTCACCTCTATCATGAGGCAGTGAAGAAAGTCACATGGGAATACATGAAAATACTTGAATTCTTAATAATTACACAAAGGGGAAATACGTTATCATTATTCAGTGGTCCAGTTTTACCTAATTTAATATTATCCTATATAATAAAGAGTTACTATGCTAATTAGACCGGGCGACGGAACAAACCTATGGAACGACCTTCCAGAACCATCAGTGGGTGGGGGGTGGGGCCACAAGTCAGCCAGGGCTGCGAGGACCTAACTTTGCATCCGGCCTCTAGTTTTCTATATTTTCCAAAAACCCTACAATCATGTATTTATTTTATAATCAGAAGGGAAATATCATTTAAAAAAATCAATCTCGTTATGATTAAAACATTAAATTTCCTTATCTAAGGTTAACCTGTTAGTATTTTATTTATGGTTATAATTGTTGCTTGATTTAGTGCAACTAAACAGAGCATGTATTATTCAACAATGTATGTTATGGTCTTAATGTCTTAATGCCTCCCTTCTTTTTTGACCTTAGTGATTGATGAATTTTGTCTTCACTTGGAACTCTAGAACTAGTCTTATTAAAGTGGAAAGGGGCTTGGCTAAGATCAATTCAGTGACATTCAGGAATAGAATGGACAGTTTGTAGATTAATCTATTCACTTGGGGTTTAGTGTCTGGGTTTCCCTGAATATTTATCATGGGCAAGTAGGAGATGGGATCAGATACAAAACACTCAGTTGCAGATATTTTCTGAATTTCTCAAGTCATATTACTGTTTACTAAGATCTACATTTCCTTCTTTTGTTGGCTTGAATCAATTAAAAGAGTTGACTAACCCTTTCCCCCTGATTTAAAGATTTACAAATAAAGTATTTAGAAAAACAGTTTCAAGTGAAATTTTTAGAGCTTACTATGAACTGAACCTTGGTTGTGTATTCCCCCCCCCCCCCCCAATTCTATTTTTGGGTGATTTCATAAGTCCTTGCCCTTGAAAGCTGTGCTGATGTGACCTGACTACCCACCCCACACTCTTTCCTAGCTATGCAGTTAAAGGCCTGTTAATGGCCTTTCTGTACTTCTCATATGTACCGTAGAGGTGTTTTTAAGATTATTTATTTCCTCTTTCTATGTATGTACACATGTGTGAGTAAGAATGGACTTTCATGCATTTGTAAGAGTGTACTAGTAATAATGATCTCGTAAAATTTGGGCAGGCTTCAAGTCCATATTGCAGCCAGGATGATGTTGCCTGTACTCTCCCTGTGCAGAACCTTCAGTGGCTTCCCCTTTGCTTAGAGGACTTAAAGTCATGGGTGTGCAAGGCCTGGCATGGTCTGGCCTGGACTCCCATCTGCCTCTTGCACATTTTTTCCCTTGCCCTTCAGCTGCCTTCAAGCTGCCCTGCTAGCTGCCTGTGCCTGTGTTCTTTTTTCTGCTTGGAATGCTCTTTGTTACCTAGTTCATGACTTAATTATCAACTTGGCTCAGAAATCTGGCAAAGAGGTCTCTCCTTTGTAACCCTAACCATAGTTTCCTATGTGATTTTTTTTGTCTCTCCGATTAGATTTTGTGTGTATGTCTGTGTGTGTCTCTGTATGTGTTTACTTTTGTATTTATAGCTCCTAGTTATAAGCAACCCTTTGCCATAGTTGACTCAGAAAAAGCTTGTTGAACAAATAGATGAAGGACATGGTTATTTTACTTTGGAAATATTTTCCTAACTTTCCAGGAAGAGACACTGCTTTTACTCTGGTTTCATCTACCCCCATGCCACAAAGAATGTGTCTGTTTGAAAAGCCACCCAGTTTTGTGTTTGTGGCTGCTTTGGGCCACTCCCAGATTCCCCAAAGGTACATTTTCTTGCATCTCTGCTGTTAGAGGGACTTTCTTAGAAGAGTTTGAGAAGCTTCCTTATCAAGGTCAATTGTATTGGTATGTGGATTTATATGACATGGTCTGAGAAATTTAGGTTTGTCATATATTACCTAGGAAAACCCAAATAGCCAAAGGTTTTTAGAGGATGGTAGGGTGTGTAATTAGAATGGATACTCTTGCCCACTTGTGTAGGTCAGTTATCTTTCCTTTTTCTCATTTCTCTTGGATGAGCAGTTGTGTCCTGTGATGGTGGGCAGGGCATTGGCCTTGGGCAGAGCTTGTGTGCAAGGTCACTGTGTGCATCATTCTTTTTCTATATGTAACTTTGTGCATTTTTGTCTGTGTATGAGCTTTTCTTTTTCAATCTTTTTTATCATGTTAATGTTTGCTTCCTTATGTTAAATAAACTCCAAAGTGGCAAGCTAGAATGATGCATGTAAGAAATATTAAGCAAGTATCTGCCACATAAGTTATTTCAAGCTCATTGATGCAATCTTGGACAAAATTGAACTTTTTTTTTTAGAATCTTGTTTGGGGGGTTGGGGTTAACTCTAATTAGACATTTGTATTCATTTACTATGTTACATAGTTGCAGCTCATATCTACCACTAAGTGAATGCTAGTTTTGTGCTTTACAAGCATTATTTCCACTCCTTATGGAACAATTTAGGATGAAAGTATTCTGTTCTTTCTGTGGCTGAACCGAGACATGAGATGCCAAGTCACTTGTCCGTTAGCACCCAGGCTGCAGGCTGCCTAGCTCTGGAGGGAATCTTTTTACTGTACCACCTTCTTTTTAAGCATTGTTAGGGACAGCTTCTCTTCCTGCACCTGCATGAAGGAAACCATGCAGAGACCTCCTTGGTCTCTGACACCATTCAAAATCAGCTCTCTGACCTTTGAACAGTGTTCCACAATTTCTAGAATGGGGTATGTTTAAGTTTTTTCTTCATGATAGTATTAATGGCTGTATGGCCCATAGTACCTTGTTGTTTCAGAGCTGGTAATATACTCAATTTATTACGACTTTTTTCCTTGCTAAGCTTTTTAAAAAATAGAGTTTGATTCACAGTATTTGATGACATTAATAGTTTGACTTGGAAGAATTACTGTTTTCTCTTTCATCGGTCCTTAATTTTAGTGGGAGACTTGGGGGGCGCAATGTATGTAGGAGATACTTCAAAGAGAAGATTATAATAGAAGCTCTGTGAGGCAGCTGAGGTGCATACTGCATTGTTACTAGAAGGCAGCTGGTGGGCTGTATTAACAGCCCTATTAATGGAGAGATTTAACATTTGCTGAAGTGATATGGATATTCTCTTTCTGCTAAATTATAGTCTAAACACCTTTCTAACTCTTAGAGCAAGCCTTAACATTGTCTTTACCTCTTTTGTTTTTGAGAAATTCCTTTCTTTGCAGGAGAGGAAAGATTAGATGTCTTTCCAGGTGATATCCAAGGTCTCCTTATTTTCTCCTGTGTGTCACCATGAGACTACATAAAGGAGCATTTCTGGAGGATGTTTAATCCACTAGTTTAAGATGCCAATATCTTTATTTTTCCCGTTGGGATTAGACTGTAAGGGTGTGCAGTGTGACTGGCTAATAGTAAAGTCAAAACACTATCCTTCCTTATAAGATGTATACTATTAGATTTGCCTTCTTGTGACCTCATTCCTGCTGCACCACACCCTCTTTTCTCCATTGAGCTGCCGTGGGTTCAACTTTTATTTCATAGCTGGGTCTCTCTGCAGCAGTTGCAGCTTATTTACTATGTAGACTTATCACAAGTTAAAAGCTTAGGAATTCTATATAAATTGTTATAATTTTAGCACTTTAATTTACTAAGGTATAGGTTTGGATTATCTGATTTACAAAAGTGCCATATAAAAAATCCACCTTTGCTCTTTAATTGCTGAAATGCTGAGTAAGCTCTGCTTTTTATGACCAAGTTATGGGATGAGTAATTATTCTCTAGAGCAGCGGTTCTTAACCTGTGGGTCGCGACCCCTTTGGCGGTCGAATGACCCTTCCACAGGGGTCGTCTAAGACCATCCTGCATATCAGATATTTACATTATGATTCATAACAGTAGCAACATTACAGTTATGAAATAGCAACAAAAATAATTTTATGGTTGGGTCACAACATGAGGAACTGTATTTAAAGGGCCAGAAGGTTGAGAACCACTGCTCTAGAGTGAATGGTTCAAAATGAAATAACTGTATGCCTAAAGTGTGATGTGGCACCAGTTGTATTTAAGCCCCAAAGGTATGTAATTATCTTACTACTCTTGTACATACACACAAATACATTTATGCTTATGGAAAGAGTTTTATATGCAAAAGAAAACCAACTTTCTGATAAGTGATGAACAGGCCATTATTTTTGAAGGGTTCAGACGTTGTTTGGTGTTACAAATATTATTTCAATGCCTGTGCATTTCTTTAAATTTCATTTAAATTCATAAATCACTGGATTCTCAGGTAAATCGGTACCAAACTCTGGCTTTCAAATATTAAGTTTAATTTAGGGAGTTTCTCAAAGCACCATGTTTATGATTTACTAGTTACCCGTCGCACGAAATCGTGCAAGACCCGGGACCCACCCCTCCCCCCGCACCATGGGACTGGCCTGCGTCCTGGAGTCATGCCCCCGCGTGGCCGTCTCACCACGAGATGGCCCTGAATCCTGGAGTGCTGCCGGGCCCTGCCCTTACGGCGCACATGGGGGGGGGGGGCCATGGAAACCCTGGCAGAAGTTTCGTCCGCAGGAACCCCAGGGAAGCTGTGTGGAGCGGCTGCCGGCCCTGCCCCCACTGCCCCATCCCCGCTGTGCGCACCGCCATCTGTGACGGCGTTATGGTGTGAGGGTCAATTTGCATATTACCACTTTATTATATAGGATACTCTGCCCCTGTACTCAGTGATTTATATACACCATTATTGGACTCTATTTTGATCATCAGTTGTATTAATTAAAGGCAATCAATGTACTCTGGCTTCCTATTGAAATTTGTAGCCTACTTAAATTTTTGATTTTGTATACAGGTTATTTGTCTGGTCTCATTTGACAGCGCATGAGGAATTAAAGATAGTAGTACCTCAAGCTCATTTGTCCTTTCTACTTTAAATTCAGTATTAAAATAATATTGTAAATTTGATATTTTTTTATCACAATTTTACCAGTCCCATTAAGTGGGTTAAATGTGTTGCTAGTGAACACTGCAAAGTGGTAAGATTACATCAGTTCTCCCTGTCAAAGGATCAGACACTTAAGTTTGGGGATTTGGTTTGTAGTTATGACTTAGTTCCCTGTTCACAAATTCCCAGGAGATGAGAATTCCTTAGCTTGGGCGCCAATGGAGGCCCAGAGTGGCTGCTGGTTCTTCCTTTGGACTAGTGAAAGGTGAGTTGAGATACCGTTGAGGTACTGCTGGCTTTGGCTTTGGGACTCTATAAAATAGCAGTAACGGTAGCTTACCTGTTTACAGTGTGATTCACATTGTGAAAAAATATATATATTTAACACAATATTAGATGATAGGAGCTTGAAATTCTTAAAAAAGTAATTTATAAGTAAGTTGTGAAAACAGCAGTTAGGACACTATCACTATACTTAGTATCAAGATCTTCAATAAAAGACTAGTGAATTTGTTTGTCTTATGTTTGTACTGTCTGCTGTGGTAGCCACCAGCCAGATGTGATTAATGAGTATTGGAAATGTGGCTAGCCTGAAAGTATTGGAAGTGTAACACATACATCAGATAGTGTAGACTTAGTGCAATAAAAAGAATGTAAAATATACCATTAATAATTTGTTAAAATGATGATAATTGGGCTACTTTGGGTTAAATGAAATATATCAATTAAATTAATTTCATCTGTTTCTTGTTACCTTTTTAAATGTGGCTACTAGAAAATTTAAAATTATGTATGTGGCTCACATTTTTCTATTAGTGCTGGTCTGTAGACCTTTTAGTCTCATAAGTTCTTTTTGTTTATGTATACAGTTCTGCCATGATTTGGTTACATACTTGATTTTAACTTTTTTTGCCAGCATGAATCTAAACACTCTTTAGTGATTCTTAAACCTTGGTTTCAAGACACATCTTGAATTGCCCTTTAAGTTATTTAGCACTGTTTTTTCAATCTTAAATTTCTAAGATAGAAGAACCAACCATCTGCCAACTAATTATTCTCTAGGTTTGAGACCTCATTGGCTAAGTTATTTCCAATAACTTAAGAGCCTAAATCCATTTTATTTTATAGGAAAGTTCACTGGATTTGGGAATGAGATTTAAAATTGATATTTTATTTCTAGGTAAGGTATACAATAAGTGCTGAAATTATATTTACTTTGAAAAAATTATTTCTTAGAAACCTATTGGCCTAGTAATAATGTAAGGAAACTGTCTTAAAGGTTTGATCCCCCCCCGCCCATGACAACAGAAGGGTGTGGTTTCCTTTAGTTTCAAAATATTTGGGGGATTTTATTGTCCAATGAAAATGGGGGGGGGGGCACACCAACATAGAATGGCCAATTCTTTGTTTTGTCAATAGTTTTCAAAATGGGTACCTGTTTTAGTAGTGTCATCATTATCTGGGAATTTCTTAGAAATACATAGTCTTGGGTTAGAAAAACATATTCTTGGGTTCCACTCCAAATATACTGGCTGGAAAACTATGGAGGTGGGGCCAGCATCTGAGTTTTAATAAGCCCCCCAAGTGATTCTAATACATGCGGACACACTGGCTAATATACTCATTAGGCCCACTAAGCGAGAAAGGGAAACCACTGTTAAGTTTTTAAAATAGGAATTTAGTGCAGGGGATTGGTTACATGGGCAGTGGAGGAGGTAAGACAGCAAGATAAGATGTTGAGGCAACCTGGAAATTAATGGCAGCAGGAAGAGAATAATACAGTACTACTACTGGTAGGCTTATGGGAGCTCAGGAGCCAGGTTATTCTGAGGAAATTGGGAATCTCCTAGTAGGAGCTGGAGTCATGGGAGATATCCAACCAATGTTGGGAATTCTGCCTGAGGTGGAGAGGAGGGGAGAAATATAATGGCTCCTCCCTTCTTCCCACCTACCAGTTCTCCAACAGTGCTTTCCATAGACTGAACCCAGGGAAAGGTCAGCTGACCTAGGCGCCTGAAAAATGATATCTGCAGAAAAATGATAATCTCAGAATAGAGGACAACCTTATTAAGAGAATAAATTTAGCTTTATAAGACTAAACTTTTCTTTTATAATTTCACTGTGGGCCATAAAAATCTCTTTAGGGGCTGGAATCTGTGAGTTTGGGAAATTTACTTTATACATTTGAAAGACTGTTTCCTGTCTACTCCAGAACCTTTTTTTAAAAAAAATTATTTTACTATTTTTGGATGTTGTTGTTCCTTACCCGAGGATATTTTCTCCATTGACTTTTTTTAGAGAGAGTGGAAGGAAGGGAGGGGGAGAGAGAAAGAGAGGCATTAATGTGAGAGAGATGATGTCCATTGGTTGCCTCCCCGTACCTGCCCTGACCAGGGCCAGGGTGGAATCTGCAACCCAGGTACGATGCCCTGGACTGGGAATTGACCTGGGACCCTTCACTTCTCGGGCTGATGCTCTTACTACTGTGCCAGTGCTAGCCAGGGCACTTTATTTTTTTCCATCACTATTTATGCCTCTTCCACCCTCTCCCCCCCGCACCCCCCCTCCGCCCCGCCACACCCCTAATCACTACACTGTTGTCCATGGACCTTTTTTTTTTATTATCCTCTTTTTAGTTGAGGCTTTACCAAGCTGTTTTCTATCGGTAGCGCCACCTTGTGGTAGACATGGGAAACTTATTTCTTCAATTTCTGTAATAACATCCCTGGAACAACCTGGATTTTTTTTTTTTTTTTCCATATTTCACCTTTCATTGCTTAAAGCTTAGTTCTACCTTTTTGTATGTACTCTTTATCTTCAGTATTTCATTTTCCCAGTGTTCTCTCCCTTTGTCCTTTGCTGTTTCAATACTAGCGGGTAGGAGAAGGGTAATTATAATTGATAGGCTTAGAACAAGGAAAGAAACAAGTTGTAGATTTTCAAAATAAAGTTAGAAATAGCATCTTGGATCTTTTAAGCCCTTGAAAGGGTACTTAAAGATCCCTCTGCAAAAAGTCATGTATTTCCTCAGCCTTTAATTTTTTTTCTAGATAACTAGTTTTTAACTAGTATTTAATAATACTACATAATAGTATTGTTTTATACTATTTATAATAAATGAAGCCTAAGAAGCTAACCACAGTTTTCCCCTTTGGAGGGGTCCGTGTTCTGAATTCCAGTTGACTGACTGTCTCAGAATCCAATTATGTGTTTAATGGTCCAAAATAAAATCTAATAACTTATGAATGCAAATGAGTGTGTAATATATATTCTTAAATTAGAAAGATCTATGCTTTCATTCACTAACTTTCTTGTATTCATATTCCAAAAATTAAGAAAAAAGTTGTAAATAAGTGAGGAACTGTATAGTTTTCATTTTACTTGTAAGTTTTTATAATAGGAAATGCTGCCAGTAGAAGCTTGAAAATGGAGAAGGAATTCTATTTCATGAGGTCTGGTGGAAGACCAGAGCTATTGTTTTATGTGCAAGGTGCTGTAGAGTAGTGATTCCAACGTATTTTTACTTCATAAAACACAGAAAATAACATTTATACATGCACTGGGATAGGAGATTTTTAACTGTAGAAAAGTTGCCAGTGGGCTTGTGGGTAAAGCCCACTGACCTAGGGGTTGGCAGCCCGGAGAGCTGAGGTATCACTTATCTTACAGTTTAGTTCTCATTGGAAGCTCTGCTATATGGAGGGACATTCAAGGGGTAATGAATTTTAGTCCCCTGAGGAACTCAGCACTTAGCACCATGTTATAATAGTAGAAATACTAAGGAAGAATAGGAGAGGTTAGTTCTGTTTGAGGTGGAAGAGATCCAGTAAAGTCTGGAGAGGGTAGAGCAGAGAAGGTATTTTTCATTTCGAGGGATATTCTTGTGCAGAGGTATAGAGGGACCAAAGGGCAGAGAGAGTTTGGGGAATGCCAAGGATTTTTGATGTGGTTGGGAATGTAAGATTTGGTGTTACTAATAGAAAGTAGTATACTGGGAAGTACTGTTAAGAAAGTAGTCAGGGGTTGACTTCAGGAAGGCCTTTGTGTGATTGAATGGGTTCGTGACCTTGGGCACCACTGGTAGTGAGTGACATGATTAATCACCTCCCCTATGTTTAGAAAAATTCTCCTGGGGCAGGTTAGAATGAACTGGAACCTGCAAACAGATACATTCCTAGGGAGGGGAAGACATTGATGCTGCTTAGATAAGGAATGAAGGCTTGTACCTGGTGATTGGAGATTGAGAGGGCTCTCTGAAGTGGGAACCCACAGATTTTGCTTATTTGGATGACTCATTTGGATCCTGGGTGAAGAAAAGGATGATTGTCAGAATTAGAGTCTGTGTGGGGGACAAAGAGCTTGATTTTAGACATGTGGATTTTAAGGTGCTTGCGGAGTGACAGATGTTAACATTTATAAAATGCCTTTCAGGGGCCAGGTACTGATCTAAACACTTTACTTTTGAGAAACTTATTTTATTCTCACAACCATAAGTAGTAGATGTTATCAGTTAGTGTCCAATCAGTAAACTGAAAAGCACCAGATATTTTAAACACAGAAGGATTTAATACAGGGAATTGATTACAGTAGCATTGGAAGGGATGGAGGAACAAAAAGAAATAAGTGTGTGTTGGACCAAAAAGGGGAGAGAGAGAGAGAGAGTTTTGAAGGAGTAAGGAGGAGAAGGGGATGTTACTCAGATATCAGACAGCTGCTGTATAAACTGTATGCTCTACAGATTTGCTGAAGATCTTCATTGGTTCTGCTGCTTTGGAACCACCACAGATGCTGCTGGAGCCTGCGGTTGTCTGCTGCTGCTTATGGAGGTACCACCAGAAACAGGAAATAAAAAAAGACAGAATTACCCTTCTTTCACCTTGCAATCTCCTGCCATAGTTTCCCATGGGCAGTATCCAACTTAGAAGCTAGTTAGCAAGGGAGTTTGAAAAATGTAGTTTATAGTCTTCCAACCACTTGTAATTCAATAAAAGAGATCAGAACCAACAAAAATTAATAGGCACAGTGGGTTCTGTGTTTATCCTTACTTTACAGATGTTGAAACTGAGGCACAGAGAGGTCACACAGCTACAACTTGGCAGAGTTGAGATGTGAATCTAGGTAGTCTGGTTTCAGAGTCTGTGCTCTTAACTTCTACACTTTGATCTTGCTTCCACACATGGTTATTGTTTGAAATGTTCCTTATTGCTGAGTACTTCAAATGAGCAGCTGTTTGCATTGATTTTGCTTATTCTGTGCTTATTTTTCTTTTGATACTGCTTATTGGCTTCAGCTTTTCACCTCTACTCCTGGAATCTCTCTCTTCATGGCCACCACTGATTTTGTAGCCAGTACAATGGAATATTTCAGTTTCTATTTCTCCTTGATCTATTTCTAGCTTTTGGTGCTGATACTCATTTATATGGAATTCCAATCTCTACCTCTGGGTGCTGACTTGCTTTGTTCTTACCTCATTGAGCCTCCTTGTTTTTCTTCACTCTCTTCCTATCGCCATCTCTCTGTTTGAGTTTGGAGTTCAATGTCTTATCTAAGAAGCTATTTAATGTTAATTTCATGTTTAAATCAGGATAAATAAAAACATCAAGTATACAGTTCATGTGGCCTTTTTTCTTTATGTTTTGTCTAGTCACAGAGCAGTCACAGCAGAGCCTCAGTTTCACTCTTGCCTTGGGCAAGAAGGAAAAGAGAGTGGAGACTGAAGGAGAGGGGCTCACTTTGGGCGCCTGCTATGTGCCAGTCAGTGCTAGGTGATTTAAATGCATTGTTTTATTTACGTTTCTCCTGTGGCATAGGTTGTTGTTACTCATATTTTACACATTAACAAGCTGACTCAAAAGCCCCCACTTTTTTTAAATCTGTTAAATGAGGGACCTGGGCAATATAGTATGTAAGGCCCATTTCCATAACATCATTATGATTCTGTCACATACTGATTGTCTTAAACAATAGTTGCTTCTAATATTGAAAAAGGAAGTTGCCATCCCACTCTAGGAAATGTCCGTTTTATTAAGACCAAGAGTACTAACACCTTATTTGTAGAAGTTACAAAGTAGGGCAAAGGCATTTAAAGTAGTCACGATGATAGATCTTCATATAAGTTTTAAGAGAGCCCCATTACCTCCAAATGAGGCTGCTGCCCAGAACGTTAAAGGCTGCTGTGGCTTTTATTCACAGGGGCTCAGGATAATAGCTTTGGAACACCTCCAGCCTAAACAAAGGGTAATCCTGTTATCCCATTATACTTTTCTGTTGAGAGCATTTGTTTCCTGATTATTAAGAATCCCTTCTTTCCTTGCAGGGAATTTAGTGTGAGATTTGCAAGAAGATAGTGAAAAATATATTTTAAGGACAAGATTCATTGTTGTAATGTGTTTTGACATCTTTAGAAAGCCAGTGGACAACCCTAAATGTTTACCATGTGATTCGCCCACATGTTGTCTTCAGACATGCATATAGATGGTTTAAGTGGATACCAGCATCCTCTTTTGGTATACAGCACCCACCATAAGCATTCCTAGGTATGTATACATCAGCAGAGTAAGTACATTTCCAGGCTTTGTCACATCTGTTTTACACTAATTCACTCATAAACATCCTTCAGCCTTTCCTCATTCACACCTTATTTTTTAAAAAATGGGGAATTGAAGAGGATATGCCTCTTTTTTGAACTTTCATTTTATTAGCTTTCCTTGCATGGGAGGAAGCCAACCCAGGGAATATCGGCTCCCTGGTTTTCCTACTACCTCTCCTCATCTGGTTTTGGTGGTTCCTCCTCTATCCAGCCTATAAATGGTGGTGACCCCAGGGTTTGAGTCTGGCTCTTTTCTCCTTTCTCATGCCCTTTTTCTAGTTGATGCCAACCACCCCCAAAGCTTTTAATGCCATCAAGTGATGATGGCTCCCCAATTTTTGTTTTTAGGCCTGACTTCTGTCCTGATTACTTATCTCTTATGTCTTCTTAAATCTGGCAGGTATTTCAAGCCTTTATAGACTGTCACCCTCTCTTCAAAGTAAAAACCTTACATTGCAACCCAGTATATACACATACATTACCATAAATAACATAAACAAAAGTTTCATAAATAATAGTTACCCCCAAAACATACATGCCATGCTTCCTAATATTTTCTGTGACCCAGAACATTGGTCGTCGCCTATTAGTGGATTTTGACCCACTATTTGAAAAACACAGTTCTTGAGCCATTGTAGATGTTTTAGAGATATTTCAGGTTGCCGGGAGGGAGCCTGCCCATGTATTTGAGACCATAAATATTTGAGAATTCAGTAAATAATTATAAAATGAAAGAAGGCATGAATAGATTCCTTGCATTTCACTGTGTCAGGAAGCCAAAATTTCTTGGGCTGCATCTGCTCTTATCTAGGTCACTGATAAACTAACCACTAGCTGGATACCCCTCCTTGTTTGCATCTGATAAATGGAATTACTAATTATTTTTAAAAGTGTGAGCTGAAACAAATTAGAATTCCAGGTGCAAACAAATGTCCAAATATATCCCCCCCTCCCCATCTCCAAATGAGGCTGACTTAAGAGATTTTGGTCTCCCAAAACAAGTATGTATGTTCCAATTAATCACTGACTTTCAAATACCTAAGGTAAGTCAGTCTGGTTTCAGTTTGTTTATTTCTTTTTTTCCCTGAGAATCAAGATGAAACGCTCTGTTTTCTTTACCACCTGCAGCAGATCTCTGTCACCTGTTTGAGCAAAGTTGCTAAAATGAGCGAACTTTCTTCCACTGATTCCCACTGTATCCCCCTCTCCCCACACCACAGGGGATACTACACACAGAGAAGGTGGTTGATCAGAGCTACTGAGGTTGACCAGATGGAAAGATTCATTATAGGCAACAACACTTGTATAAAGGTTATCATAGATGAGTGAGCACATCAACTCTTGGAGACAGTGACTGTGGAATCAGTACAAGCAAGCTTTTGGTTATTTAGAATTATTTATTATTTAGAATTAGTAGGGATACATTCAGTGATTTACTGACATGTGAGAATTGTCAGATTATAGAGTACCAGGTTTGAATATATCTATAGCAGAATCCTATCTATTAAAGAGGGAGTATGCTAAATGACCCTCACGCTGTTGCAAAGATGGCGGCACCCACAGCCAATAAGGAGGGGGTATGCTAATTGACTGCCCTGCCTTCAAAGATGGCGCCCACAGCCAATAAGGAGAGAATATGCTAATTGACTGCCATCCTCTCAAAGATGGCAGTGCCCACAGCCACAAGATGGTGGCACCCAGTCCCCTTGGCCCTGCCGGGGCAGCAGGCATGCAGCAAGGCCCGGCCGCTCCTTGTGCCTGCCTCTGGAGTCCCCCAGCCCCCTTAGCCCCCCAGCTGCCCAGGGCTGGCCCGCGGCGCAGGCAAGCCTCGGATGGCAACTGCCCAACCGCCCAGGGCCGGCCCGAGGCACAGGTAACCAGGGCCGGCCAAGGCTTGCGCTGCCGGCAGTGGTAGCAGCAGAGGTGTGATGGGGGCATTGCCTTCCCCTGATCAAAGGGTCGCCTCTTGCCCCTGATGGCTCCTGGACTGTGAGAGGGAGCAGGCCGGGCTGAGGGACCCCCCCTCCAGTGCATGAATTTTCATGCACTGGGCCTCTAGTTTTATAATAAGATGTTACAGGTACTTACCTTTCACAATTCTGCTAAACTCACAGAAGGTTGACTAATCCAGTGTTCTCAGAAGCCTCCCCTTAATCCTAGTGTGTTCTCATTCTCATATTTTAGATCCAAAACAGCATTTATTCTAATGAAGCTTCAGAAAATAGCTTCTATCATGCTATAGAAATTTAAAATCGTCACAGTGACTTAATGGTTAGTTGACTAATTGGGGGTTTGGGGTTTGGGGGGAGACTCTAGCTATGCTAGGATGGGACCTAAAAATACTTTGCTAATAATATGAACACTGCAATGTTTTAAGTCATTCCGGAGGGGACTAAAAGATCTTTAAAGGTTATTAAAAAGATGCATTCTCCTATTTAACATTTGGCATTAACTTTAGAGGCCAGGATTACAAGTAGTTTGCATAGCTTATTTTCTGTTTCAAAAGTATAATAGTACATTATTTAATCTATGGACTATCCTACACCACTCCCTCCAGATTTGAAGGGAATCTGATCTCAATATTGCAGGTGGGTATTTTGTATTTCCATTTTTGAATATTAGGTAACTTATATCAGGGATCGGAAAATTATGGCCCACTGGGCTAAATCTGGCCTGCCACCAGTTCTTGTGTATCCTGCAAACTAAGAATAGTGTTCATATTATTTTAATGTTTGAGAAGGAAATTAAAAGTAGAGTAATGTTTTGACATATGAAAATTGTATGACATTAAAATTTCAGAGTTTATAAATAAAATTTTACTGTAATATATTCATTAGTTTATATATTGTCTGTGGCTGCTTTTGTGGTACATGGCAGATTAGTTGTGGTAGAGACTAATAGTCTGCAAAGCGTAAAATAGGAAAAGCCCTTTACAGAAACACTTTGCTCACCCTGGCCCATATATATACACACACATATACATACATATACACACACACACATATACATATACATATACATATACATATACATATACATATACATATATAAAAATTTAAGTTTTTGGGGCGACATTTGTTAATATTTTGTAGCCTTTTGGAATGTAACGTTTTATTATGTCAGTGAAGTTAATGATTTGTCTCAATGTGGAATATCATGTTCATAAACATAGGCAATAAAGGTTTGGAGGTTAAAAACATGAATTTGTTCATATATATGAACAAGTGTTTGAAAGTGGCAGTTACAATGGTGTGACACAGAGATACAGCCATGCTTGATAGCATTGCTTAATAAGAGTGGAACATTCTAAACTTTGTTTCAGACTTGACAACTTTTCTTCTATTTTTGAAATATCAAATACATTTTGTACAATCACTTCCATTTCACCCTCCCTTGTGTGCTTTTATTTTAATCCAGTAAAGACTTTTCTCGTAGTAAACAGTGTGATTATGTTCTCGTATAACACTTAGTGGTTTTGGTACTTAAATTTACCTAATGGACTCATGACTGAAAGTTGGAGTTAGTTCTTTGCTGCCTTGCTAGAGAGCATGTGCAGACAGCACTGGGTTGAAGAAAAGTTCTCGAACCACCATATTTGGCAGTAAGTTGGGCAAACTTGTCTAAAATGAGGATGGTGTCTGTGTGATATTTAGTTCCTCTTCTGTACAGCGCCTCAAACTCCAAAACCTATCTTGTATTAGCTGTCACTTATAACCTCCACTAGCACTTAGTGAGCTAGAGGAAAAAGGGTTGTTTATGCTTTTATGGAATACTAGTGGCCTGGTGCATGGATTCATGCACATTGAAAGGAAATTAATTAGAAGAAATATTTTAATATCGCTATTCGCCCTTTCTCTATAATAGAAGTGTCAACCAAATTCATGAATGACAATGACAGTTCAAAACACACACACAGGCGATTGGCATCAGCGAGAGCTTTATATGTATCGTGCATTTGTGAGTCAACGTTTATTTTTAAATTGCCAGTGTGCATCATATGTACTGGTACTGGCCGGTTGGACGGTTGGATGGACATACAGTGGGTCACTTGGCCTTTTATATGGATAGATTTGAGCAATCCGGTATACTAGCCTGCAGCTGCCTTCCCCCACTTTATCTCTGTATATCTGATTTGACAGAATAACAACAGTGCCACATTCTAGTGTGCTCCAGCTAGCCCACATTTATCTGTAGGTCCAGGACAGTGATGGCGAACCTTTTGAGCTCGGCGTGTCAGCATTTTGAAAAACCCTAATTTAACTCTGGTGCCGTGTCACATATAAAATTTTTTTGATATTTGCAACCATAGTAAAACAAAGACTTATATATATATATTTTTTATTTATTTTTTAAATATATTTTTTATTGATTAAGATATTACATATGTGTCCTTATCCCCACGTTACCCTCTACCCCCCCACCCCCCACTCATGCCCCCCCCCCCCCCACGTTGTCCGTGTCCATTGGTTAGGCCTATATGCTTGCATGTAAGTCCTTTGGTTGATCTTTCCCCCTTACCCCCACCCTCCCCTACCTTCCCTCCAAGGCCCGACAGTCCAATCAATGCCTCTCCGTCTCTGGATCAGTCCTTGTTCATCAGTTTATGTTGTTCATTATATTCCACAAATGAGTGAGATCATGTGGTATTTATCCGCTCTCCAGTTCCATTCATGCTGTGACAAATGGTAAGAGTTCCTTTTTCTTCTTCTTCTTCTTAAAGAATACCTTTCAGCATTTCATATAATGCTGGT